AAGTACCTCTCAGTCGATCGATACCTAGTCATATTGACTTAATAAAGGAAGGAAGCTATCCGATCAATATCGCAACCGTATTCATATATGTCATTAGCCATTGGTGTCCTCCATAACGCGTCATGTCGCTAGTCCTGTATACTTGTCTTCTATTACTGTGGTGTTATCCGGAAAGATGTTTCCCTTCGCCCGCATACCTTACACGTGTATGAAATAGCTGTTAGCAAAGCCAATAGCTGTCCTGTATGCATCAAACAAAGGAGCTCATCGAATACTGCTAAAGACCAAGCGTTGGCTACCGCCTTGACTGAACCAGCACCCGAGGAAGTATCACTGTTCATATCGATCTCCTCTCTTACCCGGATATTGACTTTTGAGTCCTTCTCTCAGGAGAGCAAAGTGAGACTCAAAGAACGAAGCGAAGTTCAATCTCTGGAGAGGGAAGGTTACATTGACCAGGTATGCAAATTCCCTTTATCAGGACTGTCCCCCCTTCGGCTTAGGCCTCATCTCCCCATTTGATCAGCTCAATTATATCGAGCCTTACTCTCAGCCACTTCGTGTCCTTCTAGTTCGGGATCAGAATCCTATCTTCATAAAGAACAACATATTTCATATAGAGAAGTAGCTCGGTTCTATTCACATGAAATGAATCTTATTCACCGCTTAATCGGGCAATCCCCGCCCGTCATGGGGAATGCACTCCAGAGTCAATTACATCGAACCTTTTTTGACAGTGACTTTGGAAATGGGATTCTTGAACAAGGTCCGGGCTGTTGTCGAGCTAGCCCTCTAGCCCTTCCTATCACCATTCATTTGTCGGCATCAGAGCCATCGAGGAGACCCTAAAGCTTATAAAAGCAGAATTTCTACGAGAAAAATCGATTGGGCGACTCCCATCCTCCTTCGTTCAAGTGCTCTTTCCGAGCTCTTCTATAGGTAGGTCTTCAACAAATGGCATCTCAAGCGCCTAACTCGCGATCCTTATTATCGAGATTTTCTGACTCTCAAGAGCGCTAAATGAGGAAATTGCACTCAGCTCCATGGATGTTGGGTAGACTTCTAGGAAAACTTCTAAATCAGTTAATCCCTAAAGTTCAGTGGCTACACTCTTTGACTTCACTTCGCTTCGCTTCGTTTGTTGGGTCGATGTAATTGAGACGAAAAATACAATATTCACAAAATCACTCTAACAGTTTTCCAAGAATGTTGAGCCGGATATGTAAGTCATGTATCTGAGAGGAAGGATAAGTTGTTCAGACGCTGGAAGTGAAAGCAGTAGTGAGGTAGCTCAATAAACCTAGCAAAGACAGGGAAAGAGCATACTTTAGAAGCGAAGCGAAGTGAAGTTAAATTAGGGCTTTGGAAGCGAGCAAGCAACCCGGCAGAAGTCGATCGGAAGTTTCCTCTTTGACAAAGAAAGGGGCGCGTTAGCGGCGTAAGAGTAAGTAAAGAGATCAGGTGTAGCGATAGAGCGCTTTCGTTTACGATTCTATTCAAACAGACTAACTTTCTAAGTAAATCCCTCATATAGGCCGGCTTATGACGGGAGACACAACAAGTAGGTGCGAAGCTAGTTCCCGAGTAAGTAGCTAAAGCAAGAGTGCAACCAAGCAAGCGATTGTAGGTACGCTGACGTTTATATATTATCTTATATAAGATAAGCGGATTGGTGTGGAACTAGATCCTCTGCTAAAGTCAGAGTTGTTGTGTAGCCAAGTTCACCTGCCCAATGCCAATGATACGAAGAGCTAGCTTTGCTACCCTGGGGATCGATCGATTAGAAAAAAAGAATGGGAAGGAAGTGCTAATCATTGTTACCATGCATGCACGGGGAAGAAGCTCTAGTGGCTTTCAAGGTTCAAGTCGGTTCTTTCAAAGCTGTAGCCGCCCCATTTAATAGTTGAGGTTTTTTTACCCAACGAACTTTTCGAAGCGAAGTTCAGTCCCGGTGTAATTGACCTCAGAGTTGTACTTGAGAAGCTAAGGCAGAATCAGTTGTATGCCAAGTTCGAGAAATGCGAGTTCTGGCTTGAGAGAGTTGCTTTCCTTGGGCATGTGTTGACAGCAGATGGTGTTGCAGTAGACCCCGCCAAGATTGAGGCAGTCTCAGAATGGAAGCAACCTCAGAATGCCACCGACATCAGGAGTTTCCTAGGATTGGCTGGATATTATCGCCGATTCATTGAGAACTTTTCCAAGATCGCGAAGCCAATGACAGAGCTACTACAGAAGAATGCTCCATTTGTTTGGAATGAGGCACGTGAGAAGAGCTTCCAAGAGCTTAAGAGAAGACTGACGACCACTCCAATCCTTGCCTTACCCGATATTCATCAGAATTTCGTGGTATATTGTGATGCTTCCAAGCAAGGGTTAGGATGTGTTCTCATGCAGAATGACAGAGTGATCGCGTATGCTTCACGACAGCTAAGAGATCACGAGAAGAACTACCCCACACATGATCTTGAGTTAGCTGCAGTTGTTCATGCTCTCAAGATTTGGAGACACTACCTGATCAGCAACAAGTGTGACATCTACACCGATCACAAGAGTCTCAAGTATTTCTTCACGCAGAATGAGTTGAATATGAGACAGCGAAGATGGTTAGAATTGATCAAAGATTATGATCTAGAGATTCATTACCATCCTGGTAAAGCAAATGTTGTGGCAGATGCCTTGAGCAGAAAGGGCTATTGCAGCAGTCTCGTCACTAGAGAGCGATTGCCTGAGTTACATGAAGAACTGGAAAAGCTGAGATTGGAAGCGCACTGGCCACCTTCATACACTCCAAGTCACCTATACTCTCAAAGATCAGATTCGAAAAGCCCAGAAGAAGTGCCCAAGGGAACAAGCCCATTTTCGTTGGCTGCGGAAGCATAAGTAAGCGGCCCATTCCTATATCTTTCTACTGCACCATGGGCGTGTTTATGACTGAACTTCGCTTCGCTTCTAAAGTTGGGTCAACCCACGTCTCTGAAAAGCCGAAGGATCTAAACATGCCCAGAAATCTGCCGGCTATATGCATGGCGCATAAAAGAAGTCCAAATCGTGGATTGAGTGCGAAACTTCCAATATAGTTTCAGAGAGAAAGCATCAACAATATCTTCAAGCGAGCGAAGGCCACCTTCCTCTTTGGGATAACAAACATCTTTCCATGAGCACCCATGCATTTTTCGAGAAGTATCCGTCCCCGACCAAAGGAATCTATTGAACATCTGCTCCAATCGTTGCAAAACCCCCTTAGGAGGCCGAAGCACCTGCAAGAGATACGTTAGAATGGAAGACAAAACAGAATTTATTAAGGTTATAATACGTGGTCTAATGGGAGGATGATGCAGCGATTGGATCTCAATGTAATCGACCCAACTTTAGAAGCGAAGCGAAGTTCAGTCATAGAAGTCGGTTATGTACAAAACGAGAGAGACGACGGCAATCCGTTTTTGTCTCCACAAGTCCCAAAACATCTATGTTATTCGCTTGGATGAGTTTGGCATTCACAGTGCCTTCTCCTTCTGTGATCACTGATCAAAAATTCATTCAGAGGTGGAATACAGTTTTCTCGTGGGAAAGAAGGTGCTTAATCTAGTGATAATCAGATTGATCAGAACGGAAACTTTAAAGATTGATGGTTCGTCCTCTAGAAGAAGTGGGGAGCACAAAAGAAGAGTGATGCCAAGTCCTCCGACTTTCTTGAAAAAGTAATCTGTCCTCCATCTTGAAAATGCCAATGCGGGGCTACTCTTCTTTTTTGTCGATCGAGGTAATACCACTAGGGAAATGAGCGTGGATAGAGAGCCTAGATGAACCGAATGTTAATGACTTCACTTCGCTTCGTTCGTTGAGCAAAAGGGAACCTGGTAACAATTGAGAATCCCGCCGCCGTGAGAATTCATTTTTTCTTTCTTCATTAGATGCGGTTACCCCTTCTCTTACCCTGTGCTAGAATAGTAGTGAGTCGCTGGCCTCAATCAACTGTATTCAGAACTGTTGAGGAAGCCACCCTCATGTACTACTATAAAAAACAGAACTACTACAGATAGACTAGAACATCTCTTATATCAAACCATTCGATTGAATGCAATCTCTGATGTCAATGAGACGAAAAGAGATATATACAATCGAATGTAGAGTCTTTGAAAGCATCTGAAAAGCCAACAACGGGCACAGTCGATCGTAGAGAGAAAAGTGGCATACCTTTTCTCA